GCGTGGAAAGTATCGTCGCGAGCCTCACCTCCAGCAGCAATAACGACGGCGGCCTCGGCAAACAGCAGGTCTACAAAGCCGCCCACGCCGCGCTGCAGGGCAGAACCACATCGACGTTCGAAGCCTGCCACCTGCTGCTGGGCTTCCCCGTCGTCGAGTTCTCTAGGGATAACGAGTGGATCCAGGTGGGCCCACCATACACTTGGACCTTGTCAGTACCGAAGAACGAGGAGAGCGTGGCTCTGCAGGCGCCAGGCAAATACCGCAGCAAGAAACTGTACCTCGAGGACTCCATGCCCGTGGCCCAGAGGCGGTACCGGGAGCTGCAACGCAGGTTCGGGGAGGAGACCGTCGAGATTCCGGTGGAGGGCGGCAAGTTCAGGAGCTGTCTTTTCAAGGAGGTGAACTTTCTGGATTTTTGCGCAGCCTTCAAGTTCATCGGTGGGGAGCCGCAGCCACGAAGGCGACCTGCGATCGTCGCCTACCGGAATTTCAGTCCTGACCTCGAACCGGAAGCTTTCTACTACTCCAAACTGCTGCTGTACTTGGTCTGGGTAGAGCCAGGAGACTGGCTGCAAGAGGAGGACAACGGAAGCCACGCAGCAGCCTTTCGACGAGTTGCTCGGGACACGACTGCCCACCCAGACTTCCTCCGGTCAAAGTGTTTCCCCGAAATGGATGGGACTGTACACGCGGCCCGGAAGCTGCAAGCCGTCCAGGCGGTCATGTATATGAAGGCGAAGATGCGTCCCGGCGATGTATGGGATGGATGGGCCAACAGCAAGATCGCCCAGGAAAATTACGAAGACTCTTTGAAGATTATGGAGGCATTGAAAGAGCGGTACGGTGGCGAGATCGACTTCCTGCCGCCAGATCACGTGCCAACAGGGGCTGCTGGCGATGCCTTCGCGCCGGTAGAAGGCGGCGAGGAAGCCTTCGAAATGCTGACGACAGAGAACCCAAGCCCCGAAACGAAACATCAGAAGGCAGCCATGGACTACATCGTCGACTACGTCCTCAAGCGGCCCAATACCAAGGACACCAATAACAGTGACCGCCTTCACATGCTCATGCACGGGCCGGGGGGCAGCGGAAAGTCTGTGGTGGTGCGCGCCGCGGCCAACATGCTCAGACAAGGCCGTGTCGGAGTGATCATTGCAGCACCGACAGGCGTGGCGGCCTGGAACCTCAACGGCGTCACCCTTCACGCCTGCTGTCTACTGCCTGTCGTCAACAAAAGCTACGGCAAGGCTTGTGACTTGCCACTGCCAAGCGGCCCGCAGCTGGCATCCCTGCAAAGCATCTGGAAGCTGGTGTCGGTACTCTTCATCGACGAAATGAGCTTCATCTCTTCCTGGATGATGGAGAGGCTCGACAAACACCTCCGTTTGGCGAGGGACGTGTCGACCATTCCGTTTGGAGGCCTGCATGTGGTTTTGTCTGGAGACCTCTATCAGCTTCCACCACCAGGGGGCCTGCCGTCCTTCCACAGTGGCCTATGGAGGTTGTTCGAGCTTTGTGAGCTGGAAGGAAACCAGCGCGCTGCTAAGGATCCCAAATGGGCAGCTCTCCTGGCCCGCGTTCGTGTCGGCAAGTGCACGGACGAGGACATCCGGGAGCTTCACAGTATGGTCGTCAAGAAGAACGACGGCAAGCAGCCCTCGCCCAAGGCAGTGCACCTGTACGCCACGCGCCAAGCAGTCAGGCAAAGGAACAGCCTGTACACGCAAGAGCACATCGACAGGACCGGAACCCGACTGTACGAATGCCCTGCGTTCGACAGCTGCTTGAACACTGGGGCACCGCTGTCCGAGGATGCAGGGTGGGCCGAAGAGGAGAACACAGGTGGTTTGGTGGCACTGCTTGGCATCGCGACCGGCATCCGGGTCATGCTCAAGCGCAACCTCGACGTCCAGGACGGCTTGGTCAACGGAGCCTGTGGCATTGTGATGGAGATAGACGTAGACGATGAGACAGGCGAGGTTGAGAATGTTTGGATTGAGTTCGAGAAGAATGCGGGGGCCAAATGGCGGGCAGAGAAGGAGCGCGACTACGTTGCAATTTCACGCGTGTCGGCTACCTTCTTCGACAAGGAGGGTAAGAAGGCGTCGAGACTGCAATTCCCCCTCGTGGTCGCCAAGGCCATCACCATCCACAAGAGCCAAGCGGCCACCCTACACGACGGCGCCCATGCCCGCTTGGATGCCACTTGTAGACAAGAGGGTCAGGCCTACGTGGCTCTGAGTCGTTGTCCGACCCAAGCCCTTTGCACCTTGGAGCTCTTCAATCCCAAGTCGCTGCGCTTCAATGAAAATGCAGAGTGGGCGCTGACAACATTGAAAGCCCAACAGGCGGAACGACACGGATCCCAGTTGTGGACACAACTGTTCAAGCCCTCCAGAAGCAAGAACTTCTATCACGAAAAGCTGGCCGAGATGGGCACCCCAGATTGGGCAGCGCTGAAAAGACGCCTGGAAGAGGAGGAAGAAGCAAAGCTGGGAATGCCCGGGTGGAGCTGCCCCCATTGCGGCGAGGAGGTCCCCGACACAAAGGCCGCCATCGACAAGCACAAGAAGCAATGTCCTGCCAAGCCCAAAGCAAAAGCCAAGACCAAAGCCAAGGCAAAGACCAAGGCCCAAGCAGCCAAGCCCAAAGTCCTGGCCAACGCCAAAGCAACGCCAGCAGGCAGCAACAGCAGCAACAAGCGCAAAGCAGATGAGCCACCGCCATCGACTCCAGCAGCGAAGTCCACAAGACAGGGAAGCCCAGAACAAGAACTAGAAGGGCAGAACCTGGAGGAGTTCCCGTGTTACTTCGAGAAGCAGGTGGAGCTCAGGTGCGGCATCCATGCATTGAACAATGCTTTGGGCGCACGTCATTTCACGGCAATCGACCTCGAGCAGGCCGCAGCGGCTTTCCTCGAGGAGAACTGGGAACTTGGCGACGATCTGGGCCTCCACATGAGTCCTGGAGGCGACTACTCCATCGAGATCCTTTTCATGGCTGTGCGGAGCAAATCCATGCAAATGTTCAATCGTCTCTGCTGGCAAGTATCTGACCAGAGAGCTTTGGTCAAAGAGGATTTGGATGAATGCTTCGGAGCCATCCAGAACCTCAACGGTCGGCACTGGGTAGCGCTGAAGCGTTGGAGCAGCAATCATTTCGTCCTGCTTGACTCCCTGCAGGAGCGACCCGCGCTACTCTCTCACGCTGAGTTAGAAGACTCTCTGCAGCAGCACCCGACCTATTCCATTCGCCACATATGAAACTTCGAGTTCCCAGGTGCGCGGAACACAGCAGCTGCCCCGCGCGCGGATGTTTCACCAACGACAACTGCTTCGACTTGCGGAACCAGCACAGGCAAGTGGCGCAGAAAAGCAGAGTGCGCAAGACCAATACAGTGCATGACTCGGATTCTGAAACGCCTCGCTGAAGAGTCCATGATATGGAGAAGATCGCCAGAATTTGTGTCCACTGGCTCAAGTCCCTGCATGGTCTTTGCACTTCTCACAGTCTCTATGATATGTATGTAGATGCAAAGTCGCAACATTTCTCCGACAACTTTACGAAGGAACAAACAAGGGCAGTTCAGTTCATGCAGCCCCGTAGGCAAATCCGCCATGGTAACCTGCGAGCCGCATGACGCAGGCAAGCTGAACCAAATCCCGCCACCCTCTTTGCCTTCAGATTTTAGACCCAACCGTCTCAGCCCCTACGCACCAGGGCCCAGCCCAGCAGCCCAGCAGCCCACAACCCCGCAACAGCAGCACCCAGCCCAGCCCAGAGCCCCCTTCCCCAGTCCCAGCCCGGTCAATCAAGGGCTCAGCCAGCCAATAATGCCCAAGCCCACTCGGGACCTGAACCCCCGCCACCCTCCTTGCCTTCAGATTTTAGACCCACCCGCCTCAGCCCCTACGCACCAGGGCCCAGCCCACCAGCCCGGTCAATCAACCCCTTCGCAGCTCAAGCCGGGGGCTTAGCCAGCCGACAATGCCCAAGCCCTAGCTGGTCCAGCCCAGCCCAGCCACTTCGCCAGCCGAATGCCCAAGCCCTAGCCGGTCCAGCCCAGCCCAGCCACTTCCCAAAGTCAAAATGACAAAGCAAAAACGAAAACCCGCTCAAAACTCGGTAAAAACTTTGTCAAAACTCGGTCAAAACTCGGTCAAAACTCGGGACCTGAACCCTATACAATTTCTATAAACCCTAAACCCTAAACCCTAAACCCTCAAGAAAGTGATAAATAGAAATTGCTTGTCCTTGTTTGTAACCACCGCTAAGGCCCAGCATTTCGGATAAAACTGGCGTTAGCTTCTTGATAATCCAATTTCGCACAACCACAACTTCAACCATTAACTCAGCCCAACCAACTCAAAACAGCCACCCGATCAAAAACGGAACAAGCTTCTTGATAAACCAATTTCTCCATAACCTCCAACCCAGGCCCCCTTTCCAATCCCCCAAATCCAGGTCCAAGCACCAGGCCCTCCAAGCCCAGGCCCCAGACCCCAGGCTCCCAGGCCCACCCCAAATCCAAGCTTCGAAATCCAGCCCCAAGCCCAGTCCCAAATCCAGGCTCTAGACCCCAAATCCAGGCCCACCCCAAATCCAGGCCCAATCCCAAATCCAGGCCCCAGGCTCCAGACCCCAAATCCACGCCCCAGCCCCAGGCTCCAGACCCCAAATCCAAGCCCCCAAATCCAGGGTTCAGACCCCAAATCCAAGCTCCAGTCACAATTCCAGGCCAGGCCCCAACTCCAGGCCCCATGCCCAAATCCAGGCTCCAGACCCCAAATCCAGCCCCAAATCCAAAATCCAGGCTCCAGACCCCAAATCCAGGCTCAGTCCCAAATCCAGGCACCAGGCCCCAAATCCAGCCCCCAAATTGACCAGGCCCCAGGCCCCAAATCCAGGTTCAAATCCAGGCCACGAAAGGCCAGGAGCAGGCCACGAAAGGCTAGGAGCAGGCCACGAAAGGCCAGGAGCAGGCCACGAAATGCCAGGAGCAGGCCACGAAAGGCCAGGAGCAGGCCACGAAAGGCCAGGAGCAGGCCACGAAAGGCCAGGAGCAGGCCACGAAAGGCCAGGAGCAGGCCACGAAAGGCCAAGAGCAGGCCACGAAAGGCCAGGAGGCCACGAAAGGCCAGGAGCAGGCCACGAAAGGCCAGGACCAGGCCACGAAAGGCCAGGAGCAGGCCACGAAAGGCCAGGAGCAGGCCACGAAAGGCCAGGAGCAGGCCACGAAAGGCCAGGAGCAGGCCACGAAAGGCCAGGAGCAGGCCACGAAAGGCCAGGAGCAGGCCACGAAAGGCCACGAGCAGGCCACGCAAGGCCAGGGAGCCACGACGGCAGATCAGCCACGTAAGGCAGGAGCATGGCCAGGAAGGGCCGGAGCAGGCCACGAAAGTCCAGAGCCGGCCCACGAAAGCCAGGAGCAGGCCACGAAAGGCCAGGAGAAGGCCACGAAAGGCCAGGAGCAGGCCACGAAAGGCCAGGAGCAGGCCACGAAAGGCCAGGAGCAGGCCACGAAAGGCCAGGAGCAGGCCACGAAAGGCCAGGAGCAGGCCACGAAAGGCCAGGAGCAGGCCACGGAAGGCCAGGAGCAGGCCACGAAAGGCCAGGAGCAGGCCACGAAAGGCCAGGAGCAGGCCACGAAAGGCCAGGAGCAGGCCACGAAAGGCCAGGATCAGGCCACGAAAGGCCAGGAGCAGGCCACGAAAGGCCAGGAGCAGGCCACGAAAGGCCAGGAGCAGGCCACGAAAGACCAGGAGCAGGCCACGAAAGGCCAGGAGCAGGCCACGAAAGGCCAGGAGCAGGCCACACGAAAGGCCAGGAGCAGGCCACGAAAGGCCAGGAGCAGGCCACGAAAGGCCAGGAGCAGGCCACGAAAGGCCAAGAGCAGGCCACGAAAGGTCAAGAGCAGGCCACGAAAGGCCAGGAGCAGGCCACGAAAGGCCAGGAGCAGGCCACGAAAGGCCAGGAGCAGGCCACGAAAGGCCAGGAGCAGGCCACGAAAGGCCAGGAGCAGGCCACGAAAGGCCAGAGCAGGCCACGAAAGGCCAGGAGCAGGCCACGAAAGGCCAGGAGCAGGCCACGAAAGGCCAGGAGCAGGCCACGAAAGGCCAGGAGAAGGCCACGAAAGGCAAGGAGCAGGCCACGAAAAGTCACATGAGCATGCCACGAAAACAAAAAAGCCATGAGCAGCCACGAAAGGCTCATGACAGGCCACGAAAGCCAGGATGCAGGCCACGAACTCCAAGGAGCAAGCCACGAAAGGCCGGAGCAGGCCACGAAAGGCCAGAGTCAGGCCCACACGAAAGGCCACGAGCAGGCCACGAAAGGCTAGGAGCAGGCCACGAAAGGCCAGGAGCAGGCCACGAAAGGCCAGGAGCAGGCCACGAAAGGCCAGGAGCAGGCCACGAAAGGCCAGGAGCAGGCCACGAAAGGCCAGGAGCAAGCCACGAAAGGCCAGGAGCAGGCCACGAAAGGCCAGGAGCAGGCCAGGAGCAGGCCACGAAAGGCCAGGAGCAGGCCACGAAAGGCCAGGAGCAGGCCACGAAAGGCCAGGAGCAGGCCACGAAAGGCCAGGAGCAGGCCACGAAAGGCCAGGAGCAGGCCACGAAAGGCCAGGAGCAGGCCACACGAAAGGCCAGGAGCAGGCCACGAAAGGCCACAGGAGCAGGCCACGAAAGGCCAGGAGCAGGCCACGAAAGGCCAGGAGCAGGCCACGAAAGGCCAGGAGCAGGCCACGAAAGGCCAGGAGCAGGCCACGAAAGGCCAGGAGCAGGCCGCGAAAGGCCAGGAGCAGGCCACGAAAGGCCAGGAGCAGGCCACGAAAGGCCAGGAGCAGGCCACGAAAGGCCAGGAGCAGGCCACGAAAGGCCAGGAGCAGGCCACGAAAGACCAGGAGCAGGCCACGAAAGGCCAGGAGCAGGCCACGAAAGGCCAGGAGCAGCCCCCCCCCCGCGTAGCCCCAACCTCAGGGCAGTCAAAACGTCTCGCACAAAGGTTTCGTTCGAAACGTTTCGCAGTATTCGCGTTCGATGTTGACACCGAGTACATACGTTGCCGCGTGAACTTGTTTATGCGACTTGAAACTCACAATGATGCTACTGGTATCTGCAACTTTTGCACTGAACCAATTTCGTGGCCGCCCCCCCCCCCCCGTAGCCCCAGCCCCAGGACGGTCAAAACGTCTCGCTCAAAAGTTTCTGCGCCAATTTCGCAAAACTTGTCTTCGCATCTGTCGTCAACACCAAACACAAACGTCTTCATGTATACGCGCATCTGCAACCTTTGCACTCATCCAATTTCGTGGCCGTCCTCCCACCCCTTTTCCGCTCTAGTCATCTTCGCATCTGTCGTCAACACCAAACACAAACGTCTTCATGTATACGCGCATTTGCAACCTTTGCACTCCTCCAATTTCGTGGCCGTCCTCCCACCCCTTTTCCGCTCTAGTCAAGCTTCGTCTCAAACCTGTAGCAACCGAGCAGACCTTGTCTATGCGCTGCTGCACCAAACACAAACGTCTTCACGTGAACTCGTTTATCCCACTTCAACCTGGCGGCGACGAGACTCGTATCTGCAACTCTTGCACTCCGCTAGTGTTCCGGCCACCCATACCATTCCCCAAAAGCGTTCGCAAAAGACCAGCCCCAGCCTCAGCCCCAAGACGGACCAGCCCCAGGACGGTCAAAACGTCTCGCTCAAAAGTTTCGCTCGAAACGTTTCGCAGCCCCCAACAAATTTGAAAGACCAGCCCCCGCCTCCAGCCGCAGCCCCCGCCCCAGCCCCAAGACGGTCAAAACGTCTCGCTCCAAAGTTTCGTTCAAAACATTTCGCAGCCCCCAAGAAATTGGGAAACATGGTTCGCAAAAAAAAAACTTTCGGTCAAAACGTTTCGTTCAAAACTTTCGGTCAAAACGTTTCGTTCAAAACTTTCGGTCAAAAAGTTTTTGGGACCCAAACCCTTAACAATTTCTATAAACCCTAAACCCTAAACCCTAAACCCTAAACCCTAAACCCTAAACCCTAAAGAGCAGGGTAAATAGAAATTGTATGCGCAGCTCCGTTAGAAAGCGAGCTTTGGCATGTATGTGCAGCTCCGTTAGAACGCGAGCCTTTGCAGCTTCGTCAAATCAACAATAGCAGCAATAAACATTGTACGAAGAAGGGAAGGGCAGAGCAGGGCAGGGTGGGACAGGCAGAGGAGAGCAGGCAGGGCAGGGCGGGGCGGGGCAGCAGGGCAGGGCGGCACAGGGCAGCGCAGCGCACGGCACGGCAAGGCAGGGCAGGCAGGGCAGGGCAGGGCAGGGCAGGGCAGGGCAGGGCAGGAGGGCAGGGCAGGGCAGCAGGGCAGGGCAGGGCAGGGCAGGGCAGGGCAGGGCAGGGCAGGGCAGGGCAGGGCAGGGCAGGGCAGGGCAGGGCAGGGGCAGGGCAGGGCAGGGCAGGGCAGGGCAGGGCAGGGCAGGGCAGGGCAGGGCAGGGCAGGGCAGGGCAGGGCAGGGCAGGGCAGTGGGCCGGGAGGGGAGTGGCAGACACCAAAAGACAATCCTCAACTAAAATGGGGCGTTGGTTCCCGCCCCTCCCCGCCCCCCTCCCCCACCCTCCCCCCCTCCCTCCCCCTCCCCACCCGGTGCCTCCTCCGGAGGGTGGCACGAGTCTCACGGGGGGTAGTGGGCAGACACCAAAAAACAATCCTCAACTAAAATGGGGTGTGGGGTTCCCCCCGCACCCTCCCCACCCTCCCCCCTCTCCCTCCCCCCCCACCCGGTGCCCCCTCCGGAGCCCTCCCCCCTTCCCTCCCCCTCCCCCTCCATCCGCTCTGCCCCTCCCACCCCCTTCCCACCCCCCTCCCCTCCCAACCCGCTCACTTAGACCGCAACCAGCGTGGAGTGCCAGGTGCGTATCCTCAAGAAGAAGAAGGCCGGGAGCGGGAACGAAGCCGTGCAGGCTCGCCTGCATGGTGTCCCAGGTACGTGGTCCCAACCCCAAGAGACCGAAGTGAGGAGGTGAGCGCTGATTATCCTCAACCAATGTGGGTCCCAGGTGCGTGGTCTCAGTCGAAGAAGGCGGAGGCAGGGACGAGGCCGGAGCACTTATCCTCACCCAATATGGGGTCCCAGGTGCGTGGTCTCATCCCGAAGAAGGCGACGAGGCCGGAGCGCTTTTCCTCAACCAATATGTTCCAGGCGCGTGCTCGGAGGCGGGAGCGCTTATCCTCAACCAATATGGGGTCCCAGGTGCGTGCTCTCGCGGACCAGGCCGGCGCAATATGGGGTTCCAGGCGCGTGGTCTCAGCCCGAAGAAGGCGGAGGCGGGGACGAGGCCGGAGCTGGGGTCCCAGGTGCGTGCTCGGCAGGGACGAGGCCGTAGCGCTTATCCTCAACCAATAAGGGGTCCCAGGTGCGAAAGCGGAGGCGGGGACGAGGCCGGAGCGCTTATCCTCGACCAACGTGGAGTCCCAGGTACGCGATCTCGTCCCGAAGAAGGTGAAGGTGGGGACGAGGGCGGAGCACTTATCCTCAACCGATATGGGGTCCTAGGTGCGTGCCCTACCGCAGCGTGCATCAGTGCCAGGTGCTTGAAGCCAGAAGAAGTCGAGCTTCAAGAGGAGGCGACAACAAGCTCGAAGGACTTACTCTCAGAATACGTTCTCGGCGCGTGGTCTCAACCTGAAGAAGACAGAGGCGGCGACAAGGCCGCATCGCCTATCCTCAACTGTCATGGGTTCCCAGGTTCGTGGTCTGGAGAGAACAGAAGCCGAGACCAGGCCGGAGTGCCTATCCTCAATCAATATGGGGTCCCAGGTGCGCGGTCTCAACTTGAAGAGGATGGAGGCGGGAACCAGGCCGGAGCACTTCTCCTCAACCAAAACGGGGTCTGAGGTGCGTGGTCTCAACTCGAACAGGACGGAGGCGAGGAGAGGCCGGAGTGCCTATCCTCAACCAAGATAGGGTCCCAGGTGCATGGTTTCATCTTGGAGAAAGGAGAAAGGACGAGGCCTCAACCAATATGAGGTCCGAGGTGCGTGACCCCAGCAAAAAGACGACGGAGGCAAGGACAAGGCCGGGGTTCGAAGTGCGTGGCCCCAGGAAGCTCAAGCTGAAGAAGACAGAGGCAAGAACGAGGCCGGGAGGGCTTATCATCAACCAATATAAGTTTCCGAGGCGTGGAAGCTCAAGATGAAGAAGGGCAAGGACAAGGCCGGGAGGGTTTATCATCAACCAATATGGGTTTCCAAGACGTGGGGTCTCAAGCTGCAGAAGCGCAATGACAAGGCCGGGAGGGGTTATCCTCAACTAGTATGGGTTTCCGAGGTGTGGAAGCTCACAAGTCGAAGAAGACAGAGGCAAGGACAAGGCCGGGAGGGTTTATACTCAACCAGTATGGGTTTCCGAGGTGCGGAAGCTCACAAGTCGAAGAAGACAGAGGCAACGGCAAGGCCGGGAGAGCTTATCCTCAACCGATGTGGGTTTCCGAGGTGCGGAAGCTCACAAGTCGAAGAAGACAGAGGCAACGGCAAGGCCGGGAGAGCTTATCCTCAACCGATGTGGTTTTCCGGGGTGTGGAAGCTCCAGCCGAAGAAGACAGAGGCAGGGACAAGGCGGGAAGGCTTATCCTCAACCGGTATGGGGTTCCGAGGTGTGGGAGCTCAAGCCGAAGAAGACAGAGGCAAGGACAATCCAGGGTATGGAAGCTTGAGCCTCAACCAATGTGGGTTGCCGAGGTGTGTGGTCTCAGCGACAAGGCTGAGAGGGCTTATCCGGAGAGCTTTTCCTCAAACAAAACAGGAACCTGAAGGTATGCAGTTCAGGAGCTAGCCGACCTTCCCCCTCCCCCTCCCTCCCCCTCCCATGCCCTATTGACGGCCTCCCTTCCAGAGGTGGCAGGGTGGCACGAATTCTCAGGGAAGGTAGTGGCAGAAATCAATGGGGTGCGGGGTCTCCCCCCCGCCCCCCCTCCCCCGCCCTCCCCCCCCCCTCCTGGGCCGGGAGGGTAGTGGGCAGACACCAAAAGACAATCCTCAACTAAAATGGGGCGTTGGTTCCCGCCCCTCCCCGCCCCCCTCCCCCACCCTCCCCCCCTCCCTCCCCCTCCCCACCCGGTGCCTCCTCCGGAGGGTGGCACGAGTCTCACGGGGGGTAGTGGGCAGACACCAAAAAACAATCCTCAACTAAAATGGGGTGTGGGGCTCCCCCGCACCCCTCCCCACCCTCCCCCCCCTCCCTCCCCCCCCACCCGGTGCCCCCTCCGGAGGGTCCCCCCCCTCCCTCCCCCCCTTCCCTCCCCCGCTCCCTTCCCTCCCCCTCGCTCTGCCCCTCCCACCCCCCTCCCAAACCCGCTCACTTAGACCGCAACCAGCGTGGAGTGCCAGGTGCGTATCCTCAAGAAGAAAAAGGCCGGGAGCGGGAACGAAGCCGTGCAGGCTCGCCTGCATGGTGTCCCAGGTACGTGGTCCCAACCCCAAGAAGACCGAAGTGAGGAGGTGAGCGCTGATTATCCTCAACCAATGTGGGGTCCCAGGTGCGTGGTCTCAGTCGAAGAAGGCGGAGGCAGGGACGAGGCCGGAGCACTTATCCTCACCCAATATGGGGTCCCAGGTGCGTGGTCTCAGCCCGAAGAAGGCGACGAGGCCGGAGCGCTTTTCCTCAACCAATATGTTCCAGGCGCGTGCTCGGAGGCGGGAGCGCTTATCCTCAACCAATATGGGGTCCCAGGTGCGTGCTCTCGCGGACCAGGCCGGCGCAATATGGGGTTCCAGGCGCGTGGTCTCAGCCCGAAGAAGGCGGAGGCGGGGACGAGGCCGGAGCTGGGGTCCCAGGTGCGTGCTCGGCAGGGACGAGGCCGGAGCGCTTATCCTCAACCAATATGGGGTCCCAGGTGCGAAAGCGGAGGCGGGGACGAGGCCGGAGCGCTTATCCTCGACCAACGTGGAGTCCCAGGTACGCGATCTCGGCCCGAAGAAGGTGAAGGTGGGGACGAGGGCGGAGCACTTATCCTCAACCGATATGGGGTCCTAGGTGCGTGCCCTACCGCAGCGTGCATCAGTGCCAGGTGCTTGAAGCCAGAAGAAGGCGAGCTTCAAGAGGAGGCGACAACAAGCTCGAAGGACTTACTCTCAGAATACGTTCTCGGCGCGTGGTCTCAACCTGAAGAAGACAGAGGCGGCGACAAGGCCGGATCGCCTATCCTCAACTGTCATGGGTTCCCAGGTTCGTGGTCTGGAGAGAACAGAAGCCGAGACCAGGCCGGAGTGCCTATCCTCAATCAATATGGGGTCCCAGGTGCGCGGTCTCAACTTGAAGAGGATGGAGGCGGGAACCAGGCCGGAGCACTTCTCCTCAACCAATATCGGGTCCGAGGTGCGTGGTCTCAACTCGAACAGGACGGAGGCGAGGAGAGGCCGGAGTGCCTATCCTCAACCAAGATAGGGTCCCAGGTGCATGGTTTCATCTTGGAGAAAAGAGAAAGGACGAGGCCTCAACCAATATGAGGTCCGAGGTGCGTGACCCCAGCAAAAAGACGACGGAGGCAAGGACAAGGCCGGGGTTCGAAGTGCGTGGCCCCAGGAAGCTCAAGCTGAAGAAGACAGAGGTAAGAACGAGGCCGGGAGGGCTTATCCTCAACCAATATAAGTTTCCGAGGCAAGGACAAGGCCGGGAGGGCCCATCCTCAACCAACATGGGGTTCCGAGGTGTGGAAGTTCAAGCTGAAGAAGACACAGGTAGGGACAAGGCCGGGGGGGGGCTCATCCTCAACCAGTATGGGTTTCCGAGGCGTGGAAGCTCAAGCTGAAGAAGGGCAAGGACAAGGCCGGGAGGGTGTATCATCAACCAATATGGGTTTCCAAGACGTGGGGTCTCAAGCTGCAGAAGCGCAACGACAAGGCCGGGAGGGTTTATCCTCAACTAGTACGGGTTTCCGAGGCGTGGAAGCTCACAAGTCGAAGAAGACAGAGGCAAGGATAAGGCCGGGAGGGTTTATACTCAACCGATGTGGGTTTCCGGGGTATGGAAGCTCCAGCCGAAGAAGACAGAGGCAGAGACAAGGCGGGAAGGCTTATCCTCAACCGGTATGGGGTTCCGAGGTGTGGAAGCTCAAGCCGAAGAAGACAGAGGCAAGGACAATCCAAGGTATGGAAGCTTGAGCCTCAACCAATGTGGTTGCCGAGGTGTGTGGTCTCAGCGACAAGGCCGAGAGAACAATCCTCAACTAAAATGGGGTGTGGGGTCTTCCCCCCGCCCCCCTCCCCCTGAGCGCCCTCCCCCCTCCTCCTGGGGCGGGAGGGTAGTGGGCAGACACCAACAATCCTCAACTGAAATGGGGTGTTGGTTCCCACCCCCCGGGCCCCTCCCCCACCCTCCCCCCTTCCCTCCCCCTCCCCACCCGGTGCCTCCTCCGGGGGGGTGGCACGAGTCTCACGGGGGGGTAGTGGGCAATCCTCAACTAAAATGGGGTGTGTCCCCACCCTCCCCCCCCCCCTCCCCCCCACCCGGTGCCCCCTCCGGAGGGTCCCCCCGCTCCCTCCCCCCCTTCCCTCCCTCCCCTTCCCTCCCCCGAACCCCGCACCGCAAGGCAGTGACCTCCCCACCCTCCTCCCCTCCCAACCCGCTCACTTAGACCGCAACCAGCGTAGAGTGCCAGGTGCGTATCCTCAAGAAGAAGAAGGCCGGGAGCGGGAACGAAGCCGTGCAGGCTCGCCTGCATGGTGTCCCAGGTACGTGGTCCCAACCCCAAGAGACCGAAGTGAGGAGGTGAGCGCTGATTATCCTCAACCAATGTGGGGTTCCAGGTGCGTGGTCTCAGTCGAAGAAGGCGGAGGCAGGGACGAGGCCGGAGCACTCATCCTCAACCAATATGGGGTCCCAGGTGCGTGGTCTCAGCCCGAAGAAGGCGACGAGGCCGGAGCGCTTATCCTCAACCAATATGTTCCAGGCGCGTGCTCGGAGGCGGGAGCGCTTATCCTCAACCAATATGGGGTCCCAGGTGCGTGCTCTCGCGGACCAGGCCGGCGCAATATGGGGTTCCAGGCGCGTGGTCTCAGCCCGAAGAAGGCGGAGGCGGGGACGAGGCCGGAGCTGGGGTCCCAGGTGCGTGCTCGGCAGGGACGAGGCCGGAGCGCTTATCCTCAACCAATATGGGGTCCCAGGTGCGAAAGCGGAGGCGGGGACGAGGCCGGAGCGCTTATCCTCGACCAACGTGGAGTCCCAGGTACGCGATCTCGGCCCGAAGAAGGTGAAGGTGGGGACGAGGGCGGAGCACTTATCCTCAACCGATATGGGGTCCTAGGTGCGCGCCCTACCGCAGCGTGCATCAGTGCCAGGTGCTTGAAGCCAGAAGAAGGCGAGCTTCAAGAGGAGGCGACAACAGGCTCGAAGGACTTACTCTCAGAATACGTTCTCGGCGCGTGGTCTCAACCTGAAGAAGACGGAGGCGGCGACAAGGCCGGATCGCCTATCCTCAACTGTCATGGGTTCCCAGGTTCGTGGTCTGGAGAGAACAGAAGCCGAGACCAGGCCGGAGTGCCTATCCTCAAGCAATATGGGGTCCCAGGTGCGCGGTCTCAACTTGAAGAGGATGGAGGCGGGAACCAGGCCGGAGCACTTGTCCTCAACCAATATCGGGTCCGAGGTGCGTGGTCTCAACTCGAACAGGACGGAGGCGAGGAGAGGCCGGAGTACCTATGCAAGGACAAGGCTGGGAGGGCCCATCCTCAACCAACATGGGGTTCCGAGGTGCGGAAGTTCAAGCTGAAGAAGACACAGGTAGGGACACGGCCGGGGGGGGGGCTCATCCTCAACCAGTATGGGTTTCCGAGGCGTGAAAGCTCAAGCTGAAGAAGACAGGGGCAGGGACAAGGCCGGGAGGGCTCATCCTCAACCAATATGGGGTTCCGAGGTGTGGAAGTTCAAGCTGAAGAAGACAGAGGCAGGGACAAGGCCGGGGGTGAGCCATCCTCAACCAATATGGGTTTCCGAGGCGTGGAAGCTCAAGCTGAAGAAGGGCAAGGACAAGGCCGGGAGGGTTTATCATCAACCAATATGGGTTTCCAAGACGTGGCGTCTCAAGCTGCAGAAGCGCAACGACAAGGCCGGGAGGGTTTATCCTCAACCAGTATGGGTTTCCGAGGTGTGGAAGCTCACAAGTCGAAGAAGACAGAGGCAAGGCCGGGAGGGCTTATCCTCAAACCAATGGGTTTCCGAGGCGTGGAAGCTCAAGCTGAAGAAGAATATCCTCAACCAATATGGGTTTCCGAGGCGTGGAAGCTCAAGCTGAAGGAGACGGAGGCAAGGACAAGGCCGGGAGAGCTTCTCCTCAACCAATATGGGTTTCCGAGGCGTAGAAGCTCAAGCTGAAGAAGACAGAGGCAAGGACAAGGCCGGGAGGACTTATCCTCAACCAATATGGGTTTCCGAGGCGTGGAAGCTCAAGCTGAAGAAGGGCAAGAACAAGGCCGGGAGGGTTTATCCCCAACCAATATGGGTTTCCCTCAAGCTGCAGAAGGGCAACGACAAGGCCGGGAGAGTGTATCCTCAACCAATATGGGTTTCCGAGGCGTAGAAGGCTCAAGCTGAAGAAAAGAAGAATATCCTCAACCAATATGGGTTTCCGAGGCGTGGAAACTCAAGCTGAAGGAGACGGAGGCAAGGACAAGGCCGGGAGAGCTTCTCCTCAACCAATATGGGTTTCCGAGGCGTAGAAGCTCAAGCTGAAGAAGACAGAGGCAAGGACAAGGCCGGGAGGACTTATCCTCAACCAATATGGGTTTCCGAGGCGTGGAAGCTCAAGCTGAAGAAGGGCAAGAACAAGGCCGGGAGGGTTTATCCCCAACCAATATGGGTTTCCCTCAAGCTGCAGAAGGGCAACGACAAGGCCGGGAGAGTGTATCCTCAACCAATATGGGTTTCCGAGGCATGAAGGCTCAAGCTGAAGAAGACAGAGGCAAGGACAAGGCCGGGAGAGTGTATCCTCAACCAATATGGGTTTCCGAGGTGTGGAAGCTCAAGCCGAAGAAGACAGAGGCAAGGACCAGACCGGGAGGGCTTACCCTCAACCAATATGGGTTTCCGAGGCGTGAAGCTCAAGCGGAAGAAGACAGAGGCAAGGACAAGACCGGGAGGGCTTACCCTCAACCAATATGGGTTTCCGAGGCGTGAAGCTCAAGCGGAAGAAGACAGAGGCACGGAGGAGAAGACAGAGGCAAGGACACGACCGGGAGGGCTTATCCTCAACCAATATGGGTTTCCGAGGCGTGGACGCTCCAGCGGAAGAAGACAGAGGCAAGGAGGAGGCCGGGAGGGCTTATCCTCAACCAATATGGGTTTCCGAGGCGTGGACGCTTAAGCGGAAGAAGACAGAGGCAAGGACACGACCGGGAGGGCTTATCCTCAACCAATATGGGTTTCCGAGGCGTGGACGCTCAAGCGGAAGAAGACAGAGGCAAGGAGGAGGCCGGGAGGGCTTATCCTCAACCAATATGGGTTTCCGAGGCGTGGCCGCTTAAGCGGAGGAAGACAGAGGCAAGGAGGAGGCCGGGAGGGCTTATCCTCAGCCAATATGGGTTTCCGAGGCGTGGACGCTCAAGCCGAAGAAGACGGGGGCAAGGACCAGGCCGGGAGGGCTTATCCTCAACCAATATGGGTTTCCGAGGCGTGGAAGCTCAAGCGGAAAAAGACGGGGGCAAGGACGAGGCCGGGAGGGCTTATCCTCAACCAATATGGGTTTCCGAGGCGTGGAAGCTCAAGCGGAAGAAGACGGAGGCAAGGACGAGGCCGGGAGGGCTTATCCTCAACCAATATGGGTTTCCGAGGTGTGGAAGCTCAAGCCGAAGAAGACGGTGTGGAAGCTCAAGCTAAACAAGACAGAGGCAAGGACACGGCCGGGAGGGCTTATCCTCAATACGGAGTCCCATTCAGGCGAACACTGAAGGAGACGGAGTCGCCGAAGGCGAGCCATGGAGTATCCGCGCTCGCAAGCGGGACAATTGCAAAAGGATATCAGAGAAAGAGACCATCACTGAGCATGTAGTGCAGCCAGACGCATGCAGGAGTACCTGCTCCCAGCAGCTTATGAACGCAGCTCTTGTTCATTGAGCAATTCCTAGCCAGCGGTCCCCCTCGGAGAAGCTATGGCGACAGGGACAATCTGTTTCGAGAGATCGGAAGGTATACTGCGGTGCTGCGCCCGCACCTGAGGATGTGTCGCGGGAAACTACTTCTCATTTACTCGGCTTTGTTTTTACGCCAGGAGTGCAAGGAATATGCCCGATACTTGGGCATCGACCCCGGATACGAGGGAGAAGAGACACACAACGCGATGTTGTGCCCGAGCCTCGGACGCTCTACGAGGGAGGAGTCCTGATATGCCGTTTACCTTTATCGAGGCCCTCCCTGTGCACGCCGACTCGGGTTGTGTCCGTCGGGGCCTTAAGAAGCGCTCGTGATGTCTCTGCTGAACACGATGGCGCTGCAGGCCCCGCCGCCGTGACAGAGCCGGGAAACCGGAGCGCGAAGCTCCGAGCCCGTTGGACAGCATCAAGAGCCAACTGGGCGTCAGGGGCCGAGCAACGCACACCAAGCCAGCATCTGCCGACGGTGGTTGACGCTAGTTGCGCTAGGCCTGTGCCACCGTCGAAGAGAAAAGAAATCTTCTCAGGAAGAATGGGTGGGCAGGCCAGCAAGCAAGAGCGAGAGAACAGAACCTGCACACTGACGTGCAACCAGGATACATTTGGCAAAGGGTGCCGCACGGCGCGTGGATACCCTGGTGGTATCTTTCGGACAGCATTTGTTTCTGGGAAGAGGATGTCTTCCAGGCCGGACCAGCACAACGAAGAAGAACATGCGGGCACGTCCCTGCCACAGCACAGCCCAGGAGGCCACGGCAGCCGTCTGAGCGCCAGGTCCGGCGATAAGAACCTCTTCCCTTGAGAGTCCAAAAGGTGCACGGGAAGCACTTGCATCACGCGCATGCACTCTTGGGGTATGCCCGATGACTACGAGCGACTCCTATCCGACGCAGCTGTTATTCAGCATTCAGTAGACACATACGGGGAGATATAGCATGGTCTCAACCCGAGGAAGGCAGGGGCGGGGTCGAGGCCAGGGCGTTTATCCTCAACCAATATGGGGTTCCAGGCACGTGGGCTCAACCCGAGATGAAGACGGAGGCGGGGACGAGGCCGGAGCGCTTATCTTCAACCCACGTATACTCAACCAATATGGGGCTTCAGGTGCATGGTCTCAACCTGAGAAGAACACGGAGGCGGGGATCAGGCCAGAGATATCCTCAACCAATATGGGTTTCCGAAGTCTGGGATCTCAGGCCGGAGGCGGGGACGTATCCTCAACCAAGATGGGGTTTCAGGTGCATGGTTTTAAGCTGAGAAGACGGCAGAGGCGGGGACGAGGCCGGAGCGCTTGTCCTCAACCAATATGGGGTTTCAGGGAAAGCGAAGGCGGGGACAAGGCCGGAGCGCTTATCCTCAACCAAGATGGGGTCCCAACCCGAAGAAAGCAGAGGCGGGGACGAGGCCAGAGCGGTTACCCTCAACCAATATGGGGTTCCAGGTGTGATGTGACGTCTCGCAGCCCGAAGAAACTGGAGGCGAGGACGAGGCCGGAGCGCTTACCCTCAACCAATATAGGGTTCCAGGTGTGACGTCTCGCAGCCCGAAGAAACTGGAGGCGGGGACGAGGCCGGAGCGCTTACCCTCAACCAATATGGGGTTCCAAGTGTGACATCTCACAGCCCGAAGAAAGTGGAGGCGGGAACTACGGGGTCCCAATCCGGAGAAGGCGAAGGCGGGGAAGAGGCCGGAACGCTTATCCTCAACCGATCCAGCACGCTTGTCCTCAACGTCCCAGGTGTGTGGTCTCAACCTGAAGAAAGCGGAGGGGACGAGGCCGGAGGGCTTATCCTCAACCAATATGGGGTCCCAACCCGAAGAAGGCGAAGGCGGGGACGAGGCCGGAGCGCTTATCCTCAACAAAAAAAGGGTCCGAGGTGCGTGATCTCAGCCCGAAGAAGACGGCGGCGGGGAGACCGCAGCACTTCTCCTCAACCAACATGGGGTCCCAGGTGTGAAGTCTCATCCCGGAGAAGGAGGAGGCGGGGACGAGGCCAAAGCGATTATCCTCAACAAATCTGGGGTCCGAGGTGCGTGATCTCAGCCCGAAGAAGACGGAGGCGGGGAGACAGCCCAAAGTCCTGGCCAACGCCAAAGCAACGCCAGCAGGCAGCAACAGCAGCAACAAGCGCAAAGCAGATGAGCCACCGCCATCGACTCCAGCAGCGAAGTCCACAAGACAGGGAAGCCCAGAACAAGAACTAGAAGGGCAGAACCTGGAGGAGTTCCCGTGTTACTTCGAGAAGCAGGTGGAGCTCAGGTGCGGCATCCATGCATTGAACAATGCTTTGGGCGCACGTCATTTCACGGCAATCGACCTCGAGCAGGCCGCAGCGGCTTTCCTCGAGGAGAACTGGGAACTTGGCGACGATCTGGGCCTCCACATGAGTCCTGGAGGCGACTACTCCATCGAGATCCTTTTCATGGCTGTGCGGAGCAAATCCATGCAAATGTTCAATCGTCTCTGCTGGCAAGTATCTGACCAGAGAGCTTTGGTCAAAGAGGATTTGGATGAATGCTTCGGAGCCATCCAGAACCTCAACGGTCGGCACTGGGTAGCGCTGAAGCGTTGGAGCAGCAATCATTTCGTCCTGCTTGACTCCCTGCAGGAGCGACCCGCGCTACTCTCTCACGCTGAGTTAGAAGACTCTCTGCAGCAGCACCCGACCTATTCCATTCGCCACATATGAAACTTCGAGTTCCCAGGTGCGCGGAGCACAGCAGCTGCTCCCGCGCGCGGATGTTTCACCAACGACAACTGCTTCGACTTGCGGAACCAGCACAGGCAAGTGGCGCAGAA